AGAAATCCTTCTTGAAGCATTGTTAATGAGGCCTGCTCATGAGCCAAGTATTTAGTAAACTTAGGTTGAGAACATACAGATATTTGCCAGAGGGTGTTGTCTTGATTAAACAATAAATTCTCTTAACCATTAAGTAAGCAAATGCACAGCTGCCTGAAAGGAGAATTGCCAATTAGATCTTAGGAGGTATCACAAGGAACTATGGTAATGAAAATTCAAAGTGAAAACAAGCCAACTGCCCAGAACTTGGGAAAACATATTAAGTGACCAAGTCAGAGTTTGTTTTAGTTTTGAATCTGATTGGTTGAGAAAAAGGCATGAGTTTTCAGGAGCAATAAAAGCAACAACACAAAACCAAAGCAATCCATGAAAAGGTACTGCAGCAGAAAGCTGCAATATACCATTAGTTAAGCTTAGTATGTGAATGGGTCTAGTAAGGGGACACTAAGGTCTGGTTATTTAAACTTAGTTTTAGCAGTTTTTTTTTTTCAAATCCTTAATTTATGTGAACCATTTATCTGAAATGTTTTTTTTGGAAACAACATCAAGGGTGCCAAAAGCTAACAGTGAAAGGAATTTAATTTTATTAAATCAACCCTCTTATTGAGAAAGCCTTTAAGTTATCAAAATCTAGGATTCACAGTTTTAAATTTGAAATGCTGATATTTATAAGATGAATTGTCAATGATTTTAATCTTAGAACTGTCAAACATGAGATTGAATAAATATTATTAAACGGTGCACAACTCATGAAAGAAATTTCTGGGCCAGTAGCTGAATATTTTATTAATCATAATCCTTATTTTTGTAACAATTCCTCATAACAATGTTGACCAATTAGAACTTGAAATGGCTGGCTGACTTGGCTAAAGCAGATTGGGATGTTATCAAAAAGGCTTTTTTTTTTAGTAATGTCAGGACGGTAGACTTTCAAGACGTTGCTTGGTAGCTTCCCAAGTTGCAGATGTAACTCCTAACCCTTTACACCATAACAACAGTGTGTATATTCCCCATGCTGTTCTCCATAAGGTGCTAACAAAGAAAATTTGGTTAACAATCAAGAGCTTCTTTAGCTGGTGATCATTTCCCTTATTCTCGTGACCTTAACGTGTGATTCAGGGGTGATACAGTAAGGAGAAATCAGATGCCAATCATCCTTTGCGTTCAAAGAGAAAAAGCCAAAATTTCAAGCTTAGAAGGGAGACACTCCCTATTGGGTAAAAATGGAACATTGTTATTGACCACACGTGATGTTGATTGAAAATAAAATCGTGCAATTTCTTACGGGAACATGAACACCGTTTGCAGCTTTGCTTATTTAAAAAAAATAATAAAAAAAAAGCATTCTGTGGGCCAACAGCGACAAAAAACACTGTCAAATTTACTCCTTTCTTGGTTTTGGGTCCCAGTCCTACTCGACATACATTCACTCGCTCCCGACTGCTTTTAAAGTCAGTTCTTTAAAGTACCTTTTTGGTAGTTGATGTACAGCAAAAACTTTTTCAGAGATGATCCTGTTTTTTGTCTTAGTTGATTTACATTGGTAAATCTGTAATTGATTTCGAAATAAAATCTAAGCTTAAGTACAAGCAGCTGGTCGGAGAGTGAGCCCACGCTCCCTACCCGAGAAGTCTTCTCGAGAGAGAGGATCAAATACTCGATAAAACGTCGGAATTTGAGCCTGGAACAAATCGCGAGTGGAGGTAAGCGGCAAGCCTACCCTCGGGGGTGTTGGAGATCTCCTAAGGAATTTAAATCTCCCAAATCCCCCTTTCCCCCTTTTTCCCCTTGCGACGAGCACATCCCCGCATTTAGAGAGAAAACTGTGATATTTGGGAATTTTAAAAATCTTAAGCTTATTACAGGGTTTAAAAGTACTTAAAACATTAATCAGTGGAAACGAGATTTTGATCTTGTCTGAACCGGAAATCCCTTCATATGACTGAGGAACTACCTTTATTAACAAAGACGGTTTTTTTCAGGATAATTTGATATCTTGCTTTTGCTTTGATACTAATGACCAGAATTACTTTATGACTTTCGTTTTCTAAATTGACTTTTTTATTTATGCGTGTGTGTATTTCGGTTGGACGTAAAGTTTTAATGACTTGCTGGTTCGTTTTCTTCAACTGATCACAACAAAGTCTTCTTTGAATTTTTGTGGCTTCTCGGAATCTAATGGATGATACGCAATTGCGAATTGTTCCATTTTAAAATTTAATTTTTATCAACTTAAATTTTAAAAAAATCCTCGCAAGAGCCATTTGGATTGGATGTTTTCGATTGACTTAAATTTAAACAATCCTTCATCAATTCACCTATGGTTTGGTAAGCATTCACATGCAAATAGCTCTAAAACAGAACGATGATTATGAGGTGATAAGAGTTGGGGTAGCTTTTGCTAAACCGCTTTTGCCTAAAAAGGTTTTATAACCGAATGATTCATTTATAAACGTCAATTTATGCAATCCGAAGTAAATGTGAAAAACATACCCGAGCTCTTTCTTTTTTATGTATAATTTCTCTTTTTCTGGTCAAAGGCCACTGTTTTGCATTAATTAGGAGCAAGTCTGTGCGTCGGATTGGAGAGCGAAACTCCCGCCACATGTTTGGTGTTTTCGAACTTTTGCGATGTTTTGTCTGAAATCCATTTCTTTTGGCTTACCAGAGAGAGAATCTGGATCAATGGCAAATTAAACCTGCTTCATATTTGAGTAATGAACTCAAGACGCAGCTCTTATCAGCGCGTTAAAATAAGCTTGCCTGAGAATTTCATCGCGGTAGTGTTGTTCGCTAAAAGCACGACATGATTAGGTCAGCGTGAATGGAATTGCTTAGACAGGAAACGAACAATTAAGAGACTATTGTATGTCATTTTATCAAAAGAGCTTTTGGAGCCATTTTACAATGGTGACTGCGAGGTTGTAAGAAAAATAGTGGGCTCTAAAACAGGTGTATAATTGAGGACGTTGTTTATACTTCACACTCGATCGAATTTGCTAGCTAGCAAGTGCATTTAATTTACAGCCCAGTCGCGAATTCTAAAGAGTCTCCGTTGAAACTGTTGAACTCGCGGTAGAAGCGACTTGCGATTTGTACCGTTTTTTTTTTTTAATTCAATTCCACGCGAGTCTTCACCCGTTTTCAGAATTTTACTACTACGAAAAGAAGGTTGTTTTATTTTACTTTTGAAACGCGTGAAATATTAATGAGCCGAGAGACTATTTTCTCGTTATCTTCTTCAACTTTTATTGTGAGTTGCGGTAAATATTGCGGACTTTTGCGTTGATGGCTGCCAAATAACACCATCGCCATCTGCCGGCTTGAATGAAACTTGCGTTAAATTTTAATTCGTCAGTCGAAAAGGATGACTGTATGCGCATAGATTTACCAAACAACCTCCTCTCTATGAGGAAACACGAAAAGGATGGCTGTGATCATGGACAAAAGGTAAGGACAACCCATTTTTATTTTTTTTCTTTTGTTACACTGGTTTTGCCTCGTCTCTAGCCCCAGACATGCCCAGTTTGAATTCAGCTTTGGGCATTTTCGGCGTGAATATGAAGGAATAAAACACATTTTAATATTTTCCACGAGCTTTAAATCTTTGTTTGGAAAATTTTCCTTTCGCTTTAATCAATTTTCTTAGTTTCCTTGCATTTTATTTTTTTTAAATTGTAACGAATCCTGAAAACTTTGATCAAGAAAAATACTAAATTCGAATTGCAGATTAAAACAGATGCCCAAAGCAATTTGTACTAATCAGTTATGCAGTGTTACCGAGGTTCAAATTGCCGCAAAAATGTATACTGCTTCATTTTATAAAACCATACGTATCGGAAAGCAGGTTTTCCTTTCAAATTTTATCACAGTTTTAGCGCTCGATAAGCGTAAGGAAAAATTCAGTTGCTCGAGGAGAACGTATGAGACTGAACTTGAAAACAAAATGTTTAACACTGTTGTTTAAAAAAATACGAATAACAGACGATGAAACCCTTAAGAAATTGTTGCTTCTGCTAGTGCGAAGTACTTTTGCACTGTTCTTCCGTTCCTGATTCAAAAACTTCGAAAAATATTCATTTGATAAAATTACCTATTGCCTTTCTCATGTAAAACCGCGGTAAGACATTTAAATCAAGCATTTAGACTTGGAATTGACACCTAGTTTTATTAGTTACAATTCGAATTTCGAATGGTTTACTGGATTATTCCAATTTATCGAGAACTAAAAACCAGTGTCTCTACAAAAGCATCTCTCTGTTTGCTTGATCTTTACACTTTTCCTGTCAATTGCAGTTCTTCTATTCATTTTCATTCAAGCCAAAAATTATTGGTTGTAGAAGTTAAAAAGTGAGTGATCTCTCAGAACCAAAGTAATTAAAAATGCGGTCAAAGGATTTTCTTTTTTTTTTTGATTTTGTAGCATCGTTAAACTTTTACGCACGTTTCAGAAACAAGAATATCAATGTGACTAAACAAGAAGCAAGATTCAGGGAACCCTGTCGAATAAATTTAGATTCAGATTTTGTATTTTTTAAAATGTTTTGTATTTTTAAAAAAAAACAGTTTTTTAACAAAAGAGTTTAGTAGCGAATATATTAAGACATGCGAATGATACCGCAATTTAATGAAATAATCATTCATCCAAGTCGGTTTTTTTCTATTTCAAGAGCTTCGGAAGATTAAAATTTAAAATATTTTGATTTGGTTTCCGTTCTCGCCAAATAGAAAAAGGAAAGAGATGAGTGCTAAACGCATTTTTCATTTGAGAAACGTATGAACGTAAATCCTT